GATGTTCGTTACTGCAATGCGCTTGATCTACGAGTACTACAACTCGTAAATTGATCGGTCGTCATGCATGACATCTTCATATATTAGCGACAAATGAGTTGAAGAGTTGTCTGTGAGACACCCAACAAGATTTAGTAATATGTTTAGAATGAGTCAGGAAGTATTTATCGATCTTCTGGAATTACTCGTCGGAGCTCACGGATTTCATGGATCTGCAAGGACCACTATACGTGAGGTGCTCGCAATAACACTGTTCATATTATCCCAAAATGAGTCCATGCAATGAGTGATGGAGCGATTTCAACACTCATCTGAAACAATAAGCAGGTACTTTTCAATCGGATTGAGTGCACTTGTTAGTCTATCCTCTCGTGTCATTAGACCCTCAGATTCTAAGTTCGAGGTGACACTGACATATCACAAGATGTGCGACATATGCCCTTCTTCAAGGTATTGTCTCGGATTCAATATAGTTAATTTTGTTAGATTCTTCAATGTTATAATAAACCTAACATTAACTCAAGCAGGACTGCATCGGCGTGATTAATAGAATACATATTGACGTACGTATCCCAAATAATAATAAGGTTGCATTTATCGGCCGTTGTGGTAGCCCCACCCAAAATGTCATGGTCGTCAGCAACTTCAACATCTGTTTCACTTTCGTTATGGCAGGTTGGGAAGGCAGCGCACATGACTGTCAAGTTTTTAAATCTGCGACACGGGATGCCAACACCAACTTTCCACATCCACCTGCAGGTACGCTAGAGAATAAGTCTATTGAATGAGTCGCTTGAATCTTCATATTAATTATTCTTTATCAGACAAATACTACTTGATCGATGCTAGTTACCCATTGCAGCGAGGGTATCTAAAGTAATTTTCTGATACGAGATATCACATATCAGACTTTACACGAACAAGCAACGTTACACGTGGCAGAAAAGAAATGTTTAATAGTCGACATTCATCGTTACGTGGTGTCATTGAGAGGAATTTTGGTATGTGGAAAAAAAAATGAGTCATTCTATGATATGCCACCCTACAAGTTCTCAAAGCAGGTACAAATTGTGTTTGTTACAATGACTCTCCATAATTACATTAGAATGCATCATTCACGTAGCGATATCGACTTCCATTTGACAGATGAGGATGAATAATATGTGTCTGCAGAAGCCTTTGAGTACTGTTTAGGTCAGTCTTTGCCATAAGAGGAGAATTAGGCTTCCACCACATGTACTGTGGACGAGGAACGTGCAAGCGAGATGGCAGAGTTGAGGGAACGAATAACTGTTGAGATAATAGGTGTATGATTGGAGATTTTAAGAATTTATTTCATGAAGTTTGTTCAAAATGTTGCTACTATTTATTTTTTTATCAAGTGCAATTTGTGTATGGTTTTGATTTCTATTATTTAGATGAAATTACTCGATTATGCTATTATGTCTAAAAGTGATGATGAATGGATACACAACTTATTTGCTTGTTTTTAATTAAGCACAACCATTATTTTCAATCAGGTTATCTGTAATTGGTTTATGATGACAAATCATTTTCTTATATGTTATTTTTGTTCCTCAATCCTATTAGGTATATGACCTTTCGACAAGCTACTTACAAGAATCAAATCAAAGTGGGAATGTTTTGAAAGGTTCTGAATCGTTTTTATCAGCATCAAAGGGCACAATGTTAATTGTTCATATCAAATTTTAAATGCTCCTGTTAGAACAATGCTATTTCAGTTTTCTTGTTTCTTGTGTTGTTTTCGCTTATTGATACCTTCAATCCAATACATCTCTCTAATTACTGCTCTGATATGATAAGTACAACTGATTTAATGTAGGGCTTATGCTATATACTTTTTAATAAAGAAAGAAAGTCTGATAAGGGTTCAATGGAGCTTCACTTTCACATAAGAAAGTTAAAAGAGTGGTATTTTTTTTACTAATTGTATATTATGATTTTATATTGTTACTAATTGTTTCTAAATGAACCTAAATAAGTTAGCTTCAATGGAGCTTCACTTTCACATAAGAAAGTTCCTAGTTTCCAAGTTCTTTCACGTTGTACTATTGGATTCTCTAGCTCTTCTCTATATGTAAGAGATTATGGTGCTCTTCAATATTTAACTCTAACTTGTGACCTCTACTCTGAGAACCAGGATGCATGCCATTGGAGTTAAGCTTTTTGGTAAATTCTATGGTACTTCTACGAGCAGAAATACTTAAATATCTGAAGTCTCAAATTTTACTTGCACAGAGCATTTGGTTTATTTAGATTGATCAATTTTCAAATTAGTCAAACCAATTACAACAGAAATTCAAAATCCGAAAGATCAAACTGAACCAAAAGTTAATTCGGTCTAAATGTTTTAGCTGTAAACAATATGAAATTTAGCCTTTAGTTGGAGTTCAGTTATATACAAACATCATGAATTATACATATTACATCTGGGGGCTTTAAAAATGAAAATCTGGAATGCGTTTATGAATCTGAACCATAACAATCAAATATGATATCTTAACATCACAGTGATATCTGAATTTGTTTCTTTACGGCGGGGATAAGTTCTTCAGTAGTGAGATATTCTTAACATCACAGTGTTATCTGAATTCTCTTTTGACTATTCCCCACCCTTTCAATTTTACATATAAAACATGTCACCTATTTGGAATTGCAGAAGACATTTAAAAAAAGAGAAGTAGATTAGAAGTATCACCGCAGTCATAAAATTACCTCCTTTTGGCACTAATATATGATAATTTAAGTTCACCTGTTTTTTTATATTTCGTTAATACCTTGCCTTATGCATGAGGGTATGTGGTATATTATTCATGATATATGTATTGAAACTGAAAGCATCCATTTTGGAGCTCATGTAGATAGATGCCTGCATTAATTTATGTTGAGGCTATGATACCCTTTTTCACTTGTTTTGGTTTTCTTTATCAACATGCTTTATTAGCAACATATGATTTGAACTGCAGACTAGAGAGGGCAAACAACTGACGAAGCAAATGCTTACCAACTGATCTGGGAAAACCAATTGTATTTGAGGTTAACTTCTTATTCCATGAGTCAGTTGTCGGGAATTGTTTATTGGATTTGCCGCTTGAGAAATTAAAATGAATGCGAGCTTCTGATTCTACAATTCCTTCCTCACTTTTCCATATGTCTTCAAGCAACCCTTTTAGTTCTTAAGGCATACATTTTGCTTTATTTTGGCATGGTTAAGGTCTGTTTTAGTTTCTTTTTCTCGTACTCCTGTTTAATGTTCTTAAATATTGATGTTGAAGGATGATTGAGACCTGACCTCCATGCTGTGCTATATGGTTAACCAAGAGCTTCAAGGAGACAGCACTATGAAACTACTCTTTAGGGCTTTAAAAAAATATTTTTCCCTCAAGTTTTTGTTGTGAAGCTGATGAATAGGTTTAGTAGTTGTAGACTTGTAGGTTGGAAGCAGCTGCTATGGTTCAGTTTAGCATACTCTACTGCATGCCGTGATGGGGAAACTAATGATTTATATAATATTTGGAGAACTGTAGTTTTTCTTCTGCCAAAATGTTATTCGGGGAGCAGTAGTGCAGTTTCATTATATGTACTCTTAAAATTGCAAGCAGTTTCTGTAGTTCTGGGGATCAAAATGATAGCATTAAGTGTAGACTTATCCTATGATCAAACCAGCTGTTGTGTGAATTTTGAAACTCAGTTTTACGAATAGTGAAGAATTAGCTGCAGGGAGGAGTTAATGAGAGCACAAATAGTTTTATATGTCTCTCAAGGGACGTTGAAATTGTGAGCTTAATGTTTTGAGTGCTATAGATGTAAATATGAAAATTTTACATATCTAACACCAAATAATTGATATGTACATTTATAACACTTCGATGTCCTCAACCTGTGCATGAAAATTTATATTTATTTTTTCTGTTGTGGGCTTAATGTTTTGAGTGTTATAGATGAGAAAATAGATTACGAAAGCACTTCCATGCCATTCAGTCCCCATGTGGTGGCACAACTAGGATGTTCTAACTAACATTTGAGAGTGAAGCATCTTTTGCTTTTATTACCTCATTGGTTCATCAATTAATCAATGTGTGAATATGGTCTCAATTTCTTTTGTGTTGAGTCAATCAATTTTAATTAATCATCAATCAATCAATCAACATATGATTATTTACAATAAGTTTTAAATTTGTTAATTTAATTTATTAATAATTAATAATTAAGTCATTATTTTCAAATTAATCATAATTAAAAGAATTTATATACTGTCATTTAATGATCAATTAATAAATTTATAAATATATTTTTATGTTTTTAATTATTTGATAAAAAAAGGTTTTCTTAATTATTAAAACTATTTAATTATTAATTAATGTAAATTTATTTCTTAAGAAATAATTTGTTTAATATAAAAATTATTTTATCTTCTGTTTTAAACAGTTTTACTAAAGAGGAGCAGAATGATCATTTTTGCAGAAACAACTGTTCTACAGCTGTTTTCACACAGCTGCAATAAACAGACAGTCAACTTCCCCGCAGCAGCTTCCTTGGGCGGCACAGCTTCAGCTGAAAAATTGAGAAGCTGCAGCTGCGCCAAACAGACCCTAAATAGCAAAAGCTTCTGAGAGCTTACTCCTATTAGATAATGCAGCAGATTATGATAAAGAATACCTTACTGCTTGAAGCATGTGCATGGTGAATAATCTAGATCATTAATCTACAAATCCAAAAAACAATGTAAAGACAAATGTAGCTTATGAAACAAAAATGGGGCATTTATATGCATACCAAACAATTTTTAGGTGTTTACATATTTAACATCTAAACTTTATTATTTACATCTATAGGACTAAAATCTTTAATATCACATCAAAAATACCACAATTAAATACTTTTTAAAAGTGAAATAAACATAAAAATTGTGTAGAAGTATGTAAAATTCTCAATAAAGATTTATGTTGCAGCCTACAAGATTAGGAAGAGGATGTCACCTCATTTGCATCCTTGCAAACCTCGGTATTACTTTTCATTGGCCACTTGACTCTCCAGCATCTAATCAAATTGAAACATTAAAGAAGGATAAGCAAATATTTTTATTGCAGTAAGGAAATTTGCCCATGGAAAGTACGTCCATGTTCAAGTGTTGGCATGAACATTGAGAAAATGCATAGAGAAAAATATAACAAGGATGAAGATTAAAAAACCTTTCTTTACCAAGGCGCCGTGCTAGTTCTTCAGCTAGTGCTTGTCCGGGACCATCCGCATCAGTTGCTAATATTATGCGAGGTGCCTAGTATTGTAAAATATATTTGGTCAATAAATCAGCTAAATAAAGCAAGTTTTAGGTATTAGATAATTTGATAAAATTTTGCCAAAATTTTGCGAGATATAACTACCTTACTGAGATATTCCTTGCATGTCCACAAGTATTGAAAACCTTTGTCCTAACCATACAAAAAACACATTAGCACGTTCGGTCACAATTCATTTAAGATGTTTATAGATTTATTTAGAAGAAACAAATTTCTGGAATAACACAAAAAAGGAAATCAAAGTATGTACAAGTTTCATTAGATTTGAAGCAATAAATGTCATACGCTGATTCATCAGATTGCGATTAGATTATTTACTTAGTATTAATTCTCATGACAATCATATTGACTAATTTGTTAGACTACTCATCTATAAATAGGCATATCATTAAAACCCTAGAAATCAATATGTATCATGAGAATTAATGAAGAAAGATGGGAGCAACCTAAGGTATGGATTCTCTTAGTCAAACTAATCCCAACTTCATCCGATCTAAAAGAGTAGCAAGATTTGGAAGAATTGGAACAAGAGAGATAAATAGAGTATAGGAGCATAAGTGGTTTGAGGATAGATGAAGGAATGCACATTAGGAAGAGAGGCAAGGTGACGCGGATGTGAGAGATGTGGGACTCCCCTCCTACGTTCGAGATGCATGGATTGATCGGTCCAGGCATAGGAGAGCCGACCGGCTCCTCGACATGGGTTTGGCGCCTCCTTTCAGCATAGGTGCTCAATCCTAAATATTTCGGGCTTATATATTAGCTCTTGCGTTTCATGTTTTTCAGTTTTTCACTGTGTTTTCTGTCGGAACAACTGTCGGCGTCACAAGGTTTTGGTGCCCCAGCTATAGCTTATTCCAAGGTGGTGATTATTTTTTGTTTATCTTTCCTCCACACCTCTTTCACCTTTCATCCACTCTTTTAACAGCTCTCCTTGTTGTCTTTCTGTAGTCGCAGCCCTTCCATCTTGTTGTCCAGTCGTCAGACATCTCTCCTTGGTGTCTTCCCACAGCCACAAACCTTCCACCTTGCCATCCAGCCACAAGACAGCTAGTATTGTCCTATTCCTGCAACCACACCCCTCCCACCTTGTCTTCAAGCCAATAGCCACCCAACAACCATACCGCAATCAACCCAGCCTCCTGCTATACCTGTAATCCAACTACATTTCCTACCGCCCACTTGCAACTTCCCGCTGCAACATTACCTTTCCCCTGCAATCTGCCGCAAACCCTTAACATCACCATGTCGTCCAAACCACCTAACCTACTACCAATCCCGTTGGAATACATTAAGTTTATGTCATGTATGTTGTTATTTCCCATTTATGTGTTTTGGTTGTAACTATCTATTGGATTTTTCAGTAATAATATTTGTTTTCTTATTGTTGATGGATTAACTCCGGTAGCAATTGTTATCAGAGCTAGCATAGAACCTAGTCCTATCAACCCCCCAAACCACCCCCCCAACACCCTCCAGAAATTTATTTTCTCTTTTTTTCACTCAAACCACTTATACATCCTATCCCACCTACCCACACCCAAATCCTAATCATGTCACTTAGGAGATGAGTGTCGGCCGCCGGTCAAGAGTTTACCATGAAATAGATGCAGCCGAAACTCCACTGAGTGCTACAACGGCTCGGTGAAATTGAGAAAATGACCCATAGCGAGATCATTGTCGACCATGAGAGAGAGATCCAAGGAGAGCAAGAAAAACATCGGAATCCCTTTCGTAGGGATGATTTCAATGATGAGGAAGATCGACCAAGATACTTCGAATGTGAATAGATCGAATTTCGATGGAAGGATGAATCTGGATGACTTCATTGAGTGGTTACAGACTGTCAAGAGGATGTTTGAATACACAGAGGTGCCACCTGAGAGAAAAGTGAAGCCCGTTACCATCAAGCTGAAGAAAAGCTTGATGGTTGTGGTGGGAGAATGTGACAGCGGGAGATGGAGAGGATGGGACAAGATCACTACTTGGGAGAAAATGAAGGAGGTGATACAGCGATAGTACCTAACCCACGCTACCATCAGAATCTTTTCTTGAAGGCCCACCAACCACAACAGAGGGAACTATCAGTGGAGTAAACAAAATATATGCAAATTAAACTAAAATGTAAACGGACAAATCCAAAAAAGCGCATGATAGCCAGGCACTTCGAAGGTTTGAAGCCCTCCATTAACAATGTGATTCAGCTGCAATCATAATGGTCATTAGATGATGTTCAAACCTTGGTACTGAAGGCATAGACACAGCAGAAGTAGACAAGGCAGCCACTGTCATTCAGATAGCCACCCACAACTAGAGACATCAAAAAGAGCCTGCCTAAAAGAGTGAGAAGACTAGCCAAAAAATTGATAGAATTGCTCAAAGTGAGGAAAAGGCTAAGAAGGAAGAGTACCACCCCAGCACAATTCCAACCAGAAAATGCTTCAGCTGCCCACAAATATGGACAAATTGCCACCAGCTGCCCAACTAACAGAATTCTCTCATTCACCGAGCAGACTGCAGTGGAAGAGGTAAACAACAAGACAGCTGAAGAACTGGGTGAATACTAGCTTCCACCAAATAAGAGTGAGATGCTTGTGATTCGACGGATCTTCCAAACTGCAGCTACAAGTGAGCAGCAGTGGTTCCACGACAATATATTTTACACTCGATGTAGTATGAAAGGAAAGGTATGCAGCTTTATCATCGATGGAAGTAGTGGTAAGAATGTGGTGCCTCCACAAATAAGGGACAAGTTGAGGATGTTCGCGACTCAGAGGCATTCTCAATCGTATTCTCAAACGTAGTTAAAGAAAGATAGAAGGGTCAGCATTGGTTGGATGTTCTCATGAAGTTTTCTATTAAGAGTCGGTTGCAGAATCAGGTATGGTGCGACGTAGTGCCCATGGATACCTATCACATCCTATTGGGGAGACATTGGAATAACTCAGCAAGATGGATTCAAAAACACATACACTTTCACAAAGAATGAGAAGCATGAAGCCCTCCTACCTTCTGTGGAGTCTGAGATTACCAGTGCTCTTTCCATTAAAGAGGCACCAGTCAGACCAGTCTTCGTGATGATAGTGGATAGCAACATTTAAGGGTCGATATTAGACACAAAATAACCTCTATAGAAAGAGTTCCAGAATACTCTAACTGTCAGCTTGAAGCCAAATCCGCTACCATTAGGGGAGGTTAAGTCTGTCATCACATTGACTAGGCAACCTTGGGCTACCTTTGGAAGAATCTGCATAATACACTAGGCACGAAAATCCAGTTCAATTCAGCAGTGTACCCACATATGGTTGGAACAATATGGATGGCTACTTGTAAGTGGGGAAACCTTCTCAGGTTTTTTGAGGGACAATGCAACTGACAGCTCCGTCGGAGGGCTAGAACAACTCCTCTACCATCAACGTGTCAAATCTGACTCCATACTATTAGGAGGCAAAAATTTCAATGAATGAGATCGAAACTCGCCCAACCCCAGGAGACTAACGCAAACATAAAGGGGCAGGATTCTCCTTAAGGGTTCCAAATGCATGGACCGACCGGTCCAAACATGAGAAAGTTGATTGGCATATGCACATGGGTTTGGAGTCTCCTTTCAACACAGAGGCCCAATGCTAATTATTTATGGCTTATTTATTTGTATTTTGCTTTAGGTTTTCATTTTCCATTGTGTTTTCTGTCGGGACAGCAGTCGTTGTCTCAAGTTTCTCCCTTCTAAGAATGTATTCAAAGGTGAGTGATGCTCCAACTGTATCTCATTTCGAGGAGGTGATTATCTTCTATTTCCCATTCCTCCGCACCCCTTTCACCTTGTCGTCCAGTCGCAGGATAACTCACCTTGTTGTCTTCCTACAGCCGCACACCTTCCACCATGTCGTTCAGTCGTTGGATAACTCTCATTGTCGTCTTCCTGCAACCACACCCCTCCACCTTGTCTTCCAACCACCATCCACCCAACATCCCTACCGCAATCAGCCTTGCCTCCTATACATACAGTCCAACCGCATTTGCCACCACCCACCTGCAACTTCCCATCACAAACTTAGCTTTCCCACGGCAGCCAGCTGCAAACCCTTATCATCACCCTATCATCCAAACCGCCCAAACAATTTGCCAACCCCGTTGGAATATAACCCTAGTTGAGTTGTGTGACGTATATTATTATTTCTCATTGTTGTATTTTGGTTAAAACTGTTTATTGGCTTTTTCAGTAATAATATTTGTTTGCTTATCATTGTTGGACTAACTCAAGTTCACAAGGGAAACGGATGAATTAGAAAGCATAAATTCTAGAAGGGGCAAAATCTATGAAAGGCAACAAGAGACTATTTCGTCAATTCATCAACTCATAATCCTCAATACAAACTAGAGCCCCTTGCATAAATTAATACTATGCAAAAGAAAATAAAAATGTTCTTATTACATATAAGAATCATGTTTAGACTAAATGTACATAAGTGAGCCTAATAATTAAGCCAGAAATTAAGTTGAATACAAATAAAACTGAACACAAAATAAACCTAAAACAAAAAAATAAAGGACAATGCACCAAATCACCATGATATTTTTTTCTTATCCTCGTTTCTCCTTCTACGGTTCTTCGCTTCGCCTCTCCTGGGTAACCGAAACAAGACCATTATAAGTTTCGTTTCATCAATGGCTAAAAATACAAATGAAAAATTAAATGGCATGATACCGGAGAAAAAAGGCCAAACTACAAAAGGAACTTTTATTAATGGAGAAATAATATTACAACACACAAACTGATAATACAACAATAAAGCATGAAATGACACAAACAAACACCTCAAAAGTGTAACCCAAGAGCAGTGGAGGTTGGCTAGGTGGATCGGGATGGCTAGCAGGTGCGGCGATAGCAAAGATGGAGTGTTGAGCAAAAGATTTGGCTGCAGAACAGCGGGCTGCGGGGTTGGACAGCAGGTTTGATGCTGGAAGGTGGGCTCAAGGATGTTGGGACGGAGTGGTGGAGCTATTGTGGAAGGAGCAAGACGGCAGGGAAATAGAAGTATGGTGAGATAAAAATCTCGGCGGGGTCAAGATGCAGTCGGAGCACCACTCGGACCCTTGGAGACGATCACCAGCTTGGACGAGGGACAATT